TTTACGCGGGCTCAGATCTAATATCTGCCATTTCAGATCCAGGATATAATCGGTTAACTACAAAGTTAATGACCAGTACACCATTTTGCATTTGAAAAGATGTCGGTTTGTGCAGAACCCGTTTTTGATCTTTGACAACATGCAACAGTGCATGCAGAATACGTTGAACGACAAGAAAAGATTCTTAGGCTAAAATTATTATAATTTTTTTATCATTTCCTCGGTGTCGGTGAAAAAAAAATGGAATGATTCACATGGTTCCGAAACGGTTCTTTTGAATTTAGAATAAAAATCGAGTGCTAACTGGAGCAGAATCCCAGATAATAAATTCCATTGACAATGCAGTGGGTCCTGCAGTGAGACAAAAATTTAATCATAGCTTCCAGCTGTCTCCATAGCCGTTCTTCAGGATGTCACGCAGGTCACACAACGACCCATTTTAAGAGACGCACGGCATGAGAGTATTGCGTAACATCCCAAAGACTCCTACCTTTATGAATTTGCTTTTCTAGTTTTGTTTAGTTTCTTCGTTTTTCATATTTTTCTTTCAGTTGGACCATGTCATGTCACGTATTATATGCAACTAGTACTGTCCATAAAGGGAACCGAGACAATCGTTCCCTCAGAGGAAGGATAAAACTTTCAAAATAAAATGAATGACACTGACTGTTTCTTCTTTTTCGTAAATGACGTAAATAAAAGACAGACGAAATTCTGGGCGGTAAGGTGCCCGAACCGATTTATAACGAAATTGAACACTGTTTGATCGTTCGAAAGAATAACCGAAATCCTTCTTTTGTTGATACATTGTTAGGGGGAGTTAAATCCTTCTCATACCTCCATTTTGCCTCATCAGTTTTGTTTTGGCCCCAGTCCAAACATGTCGATACATGTAATTACGAACGTTCTACTTGCTGAGGCAGCTGTGATAAGATAAAAGAGCTCTCTGTTTTTCAGACGCTTCATGGCCTACCCCTGTCTTATCTCCGAAATCAAACTCACCGAAAATCACCTTACGACTCAGATGTTCGAAAGGTGTAACAATGATTATGAGTTATCAGCGAAAAAGTAAAAACTTGTGAGTCACAAAGTCAACAGTGCTCAGTCTTCGGGTAAAATGTAGTAAAACATAACACGTCCTACTGGCATCGTGTCCTTAAAATCACTTACCTTCTGGTTATTGCGTCAAGCAGCGCGTTCTTGATCGGGTACAACTTAACTGTAAAAGTTCTTTGTTTTTGGTGTTTTAAAGCCGTGTAATTGCTTATCGAAATATTTCTCTAACTTGCTCGGTTAAATTCGGCCATAACCGATTGGACAGACAGGATTGACTCCTTCATATGTACCAGTATATATGGATAAAATTACTGAGAAAAGGCAAAGTTTGACATACTTGCTCGAAAATGAGATGTAACATAAGGGACAAGGTACTAATCAATGCAATATGCCCGTTCTCTTTGCTTCAACGGAAATAACTGAATTGATCAGGAAAATTAAATGTGGTTACCTCCTACCAGTTTGTAATGAATTAGCACTTGAATGCCTAGCCGACCAATCCGGCTCAATTGAAAATCTCAAGGATCTACCAGAGGCACTGACAAAAGCTGCAAACGACCTATTCTTTCAATTAACATTTGATGTATGGTCATCCCTGTTTTGAATTACAGATGTTTTAAAGAAGCTAATGTTTGATTTTGTAGGCACGCATCGCCCTTTATTATATATCTCTAACAAAGAATTGTAATTCATCGGAAACTGGATAGATTCAATTCCGCTTCTAAGTTTGTTTACATCAATTCAAAACCACCGACGCATGCAGTCAACATATAAATTGGGAATCCTTTCCAAAATTGAATAAAGAAGAAAAGTTATCCAGATAATTACTTCATACATTATTTCCGAGATTTAATTTTTTTTCTAATTTTGAATTGACGTGTAAATTTTTACTTAACCATGGACTTTTACAGAGGAAAGAAATTCACGACAACTAGTTTCTTCTCCCAGCACTGTTCAATAACGAAATAAATATGAAAAAACCGTCAGATGTATCGTGTTTATCATCTCGCTCTTTCAACTGGACACAGACTTTCTTTACATAGTGATAACTCAAAGGTAAACAATAAGAACTCTGCAATTTTTCATTTGCGCTTCTTATGCATATTCCATGGAAACCTTTTTACTCATCTTAAGGAAACGCATGCATGATTAAAACGAGAGTATGGAGACAAAAATACATGTATACGAGTAGACAAACTTACACTGCAGATGAAAAGGTATGATCCGAGTTGTGATTGAAATATTCGAAGCTATATAAATAATGACCATGAATATTGCAATTAATACTAAAATGAATGATAACTATAATTTCTTCTCGTTTTCAGATTTTTCCCCAAGAAATGCTTCATGTTTACTCTTAAACATGATTGAACTCGTTAGGGAAATAGCTAGAAACATTTTTAGACCTAACTATAATTTCTTCCTTCGTGTTTAAGGAAATTTCTCGAAATGATGATTTGTTGCAGTATAGATGATACCACAGGGTAAATAATAATCTAAGAAGGAACAAATTTAATTGATAAGATTGAGCACTAAGTTAACAAGCTGTAAGTAATGAATTCGAAATGATGATTTTAGGAAAAAAGGATAAATTTTTCACCAGTTATTTTCATCTTTCAAAGCTGTTACTTTCCCATTCTGTAATTGATACCTTTTGCAGTTTGTGATAATGAAAATGGCCAGCTTTATAATCTCGCCGGATTTTTTTATTTAATTTGAGAACTTTTCCAGCCAAGTGGGACAGACGAAACTTCTTTTAAGAAACATGGTTGTACTAAACAATCTTGTTGTTTTCTCGACAGCTTCTGATCCTAATCTTATGTAAGGCACTTTTAAAATTGTCACATGCTGAGCTTTAATAAACTGCAGTTTCGTACCTCAGTTTCGGCATGTGCCTAACATGAAACACGCGTTTTTAGAGCCATCAACAAAGAAAGCCATCAACAAAGAAAATTCAGTATGATAATTTAGTCTTTTGCTGGTGGGTCTTTTTTTTTCTATATTTGTTATGCACCTGAGTTACGCACCGTTCTGTGTATTGTCATGCTTAAAACATATTAATATTTAATGAGGGTGCTGCTTTGAGGGAAAATTGGATGTTGGTCAATTTTGGAGTTTAATGGGTTAAATCTAGTAAACTTACAAGATAATTTCCTTTTTACCTAGGTAACTGCTCTACCTCTCTTTTTAAATTCAAATTGATTTTGTAATCCTTACTCAACAAGAAAGTTGGACCTCCCAAGTTAGTGGACGTTGAAAATGGCACTCTAGAGTCGTGATTTACGAGTGATATACGTATTCTGCATGGCAAGTGACTTAGAACTTTTAAATTCTTAAAAGTTTCGAATCTCTAAGAATTTTCTCTGAGTTACGCACCGTTCAGCCTATTATAGTGTTAAAAAATAGAGAGTAAAATAGGTTCGTTACTAAGATTAGAAAACTGTGTTCTGCTTAAGCACTCTTTAAGGGAATGCTGAGATCTGATTGCTCTGAGATACATACCTATACCCCAACGCGGCGATCTGAACGGTGCAAGCAAAATACCACTCGATACGCTGGTATACAGTTATTTTTTTTATAAGTAAATAATCCTTTCTTTTCCCTGCTGTTTGCGAACTGTTGACTTATTTGTTTAAGTCTTGACACTCTAACGTGAATACACATCATCCATACTGTTATTATTTTTACATACAGTTATTTTTTCATAAGTAAATAATTCTTTCTTTTCCCCACTTTTTGCGAACTGTTGACTTATTTGTTCAAGTCTTGACACTCTAACGCGATTGCATTTTCTCCATACTGTTCTCTGTGCATCCCTTGTGGTGCTGACAAGGAGAATTTATTTAACAATCAAGACCAGTTAATTTTATCTCGTTTTAGGATCCTGTCTGTTAATTCTCCTGACCTGAATATTTAATTCCGGGTGACGCTGGGATGATAAAGTGGATGCTAGTAAATCGTAGGGTTTCATTTTAGCAAACTTGTGAACTTGAGGTTATTCCCCTCTTATCTCCGTTAGTCATTGCTCCACCTCTTGTTAGATGATAAAGATGCCCTCATATTTTTATTTTATATTCCTGACTCAAGAAGAAAGTTGGACCCTTCAAGTTAGCGAACGTTGAAAATAGCACTCTAGAGTCGAAATCGGAAAAATGGAAGATCGAAGGTCTACATGTGACAACTGATGAATGAAAGTCGGATTTCGAAAGTTGGCAGTCGTAGGTTAGAGTTACGACGCTTAGAGTATTAAATTGGAAAAGCGAGGCTAGAATTAAGTCGGAAAATTACTCGTGAATGGTCGGAATTAAACTCCGAACTCCGAAATCGAACGTCCGAGGTCGGAAGTTAGAAAGTCCAAAGTCGGAAATCAAAAGTGGATAGTCGGAAGTAAAACTTCGAACTCCGAAGTACGATGTCTGAAATCCGAAGTCGGAAATTAGAAGTCCGAAGCCCGAGGTTGTGGGATTAAGAGTGGATTGTTGGAAATAAAACTCAGAACTCCGAAGTCGGAAAAGAGAAGTCCGAAGCTGAAAGTCGGAAAATCAAGGGTGGACATTAGGAAATAAAACTCTGACCCACGAAATCGAATGTTTAAGATCTTGATTCGCGGGTCAGAAATATTGTTGTGGCATTAAATTGTAGACCTATGACAAAACAGATAACAAGTTTCGTTCATTACCCCGTGAAAACATCTAATGATCAAATCATCATTAGAACTTGAAACCCAAAGTTAGGTCAATAACTGAGTCAATCTAAGGCTGGCACAAATGACAATCCAATAACTGAGTCAATAACTGAGTCAATCTAAGGCTGGCACAAATGACAATCCAATAACTGAGTCAATAACTGAGTCAATCTAAGGCTGGCACAAA